CACATGAGACACCTGATCATATCACCTTCTCTCCTCAATGACATCTGTAGCTTTCCAGACAGAGCCAGCTTACAAGTGTGTGACCTGCATAGTCACACACGAACATGCTCAGAAAGGCCCTGTGCTTGACTTAATGTTCTGCTGAGGTCCTCTTGCAATACTTAATAATTTCAACTTTGATCTTGGTTTTAGTTAAGTGAAGTCCAGTAGGATAATTGAGGCATGCACATGAACAGAGGAGGAACGAGCCCCATGTGGTCTGCCAATCCTGGCTGCTCCACCTGCTGACAGAGCTCATGATGCCCCATGAGTACAGAACTTGGTGGACTCATGATGTGTGGCAGTGTGTGACTTAAGTGCAATTGAATGCAAGGTAAACATGTTATGTCTACAACTGAGTAAGTGGGAACTTCGACAGCCATAGAAGCCATTTTTCATGCCAAATAGAAATTTCTTCAAATATAGAAATAATGCATTTTGAGAAACAAAAACAACCAAGGAACCCTATCAGATCTTTTCTTACTGTACCACCCTGCCACTTATGCTGAAGAAGACATGGAAGGAAAGGAAACCTTGCACAACTCACAGTTCCCTTTCTTTTCAGACCTCCTTCACTCAGCAGTAAGCCAAAAGCAGAAAGTGTCGGTGCATGTATCCAGAAGTGAAATAAAAAGACTTGAATTTGACTTGTGTGGCATTTCCACTGTTCTGGCATGAACACACGTGCATGTGCAAGGTATGAAGTAAAAATATGTAATTCTGTTAGTTTCCAGTATGAGTTAAATGTATATCATATTTAAAACTGGTATTGTGTAATATAAACATTAACAGTAAAATTCATGACAATATAAAATTTTAACTATTCTGTATTTAGGATGACACTAAATAGCAAACAACACCACAAGTCAAGAAAAAGAAACTCTTATTGGGCTGGGGATTTAGCTCAGTGGTTTCGCTGCCTGCTGTGCAAGCACAAGGACCCGAGTTTGATCCCCGGTACCCGACCCCCCCCCCGCCAAAAGAAACCCTTATATTGTAATATATTTGACCAAGGGGTCCTACATTTGCATTTTCCCTGGGACTTGCAAATTGTATAGCTGGCTGTCCCTATCATCTAGGGCTTACCTTAGTAGCCCCTATGATTCCTCTTTGCCCTAAGATGTAGAATGGATCAATCTCATTGCTAAAATTGTCCAGGGTAGCATGAACCGTGGGTTGAACAAGAAGGTGACAATTGAACTGCATCCTAAAGAATAAACTGGAATTGGATAGGCAGTGAAGGGAGAAAAGCACAGGGGATTCCAGGATGAAGAGTAGGGTGAGAGGCAGCACACAGCATGAGTCAAGAGTCAGAGATGGCAGTGGTGCATCAGAAATGTGTTTTTCTCAAATAGAAAGGTAGAGAAAACAAGAGGAAAGTGTCTTGAGGTCCATGAAGCAACTCACATTTATCAGGGATCTGCCACTGCCAGGAACTGAGTATGTGTGTGAGTGTGGGAGAGAGAGTAAGGTGCTTCTGCCTTCAAGGAATTATAAATATGTTGGGACACACACACACACACACACACACACGCACCCCACTGAGTGTTTTCAACAGGCTTTGTCCATTGTAGTTAAACATATTCAGGGTGGAAAGTGGGGAAAACCAAGGTGAGGGGATGCACACCAGAGAGAAAGGGCTCAGCCATGTGTAAACACAAGTTCAAAGAAGACTCAGAGAAGCCCACTTTCCACTACACCGGGGAGAGACCAAACTTGCTGGAGGGGAGAGTTTGTGTCAGAAAGGAGCTGGGTAGAGTGGAACAGGGAGAGTGCTGAATGACAATTTAGGCAGCTGGCACTTAATCCTGTGGGTGTCGAGGCTTGATGAAAGCAGAAGCATGGAGAAAGTTTTAGGTGTGTAAGATGGTGATATGGATGCAGGAGGGTGGCTCAGGTGTAGGGATCCTGAGATGGAAGAGGACCAGGGCTTGTGCAATATTATGAAGGCCTTTGAATGATAAGTTAAAGGGATTGAAGTTTATCTTTCAGACTAGTTTGTCAAAAAATTTTTTTGTTTGTTTGCTTTTCGAGACAAGGTCTTATTACATAGTCAGGCTGGACTTGAACTCACTATGTAGCTCAGGCTGGCCTCAAACTCACAGCAATCCTCCTGCCTCAGCCTCCTGAGGGCTGGAATTACAGATCTGTGCCACTTTGCCTGGCTTAAAATTTTTTTAAAAAACCTTTAATTTCCCCCCTCTTTTGTTTGTCCAAATAATCTTAGCAGAAGTCCAATACACCAAACAGATACAAGCAGTCATCAGGTTTTCCCAGTTTGGAAGCCTTTGCTTGTGGTGATGAGGGTTCAAGGAAAGTATAAATTCTGATGGCCATGTATGATCTGATTGAAAGGAGAGAAGAATGGGAGAGAGAAATGATGAGATTGTAGATGGCATAGATGAGAAAAACACAGTGGATTTTAAGAACTTAGGAAGGAGAAGCAACAGGAGGGAGAGAGAAAGAGCCCAAACCTACTCAAGGGAGAGGAAGGAGCTCCTGGTGGGAGTTGTGCGGTAAGTTCTTGGCTCTTGAAAACATCTGGCCCAGTTGTGTGTGGCCACTGTTACTGATGGCTGTTATTGTCTGTCCTCTAATCCTTGTACAGTTCTGGGACTCTTTGGAAATACTTCTGGAAGAAGATTTGTATTTGTTCCTACAACTTCCTCTCAATAACGAAGTACCTAAGATGATCAATTTCATGAGGGAAATAGCTTATTTTGGCTCATGGTTTCAGAGGTTTCAGCTCATAATCGGTTGGCCCCACTGCTTTTGGGTCTGTGGTCAGGTAGCACAGTAAGGTGGAAATGTGCTGCACAGGAAAGCTGTTGGGAAGCAAAGTGAGAGACCCTAGGAAAGGGCTGGCCAGTGTCCCAATGTCTCCTTCAAAGGCATATCCTCAATGACCTAATTTCATGATGACCTACCTCCAAAAGGGTCTACCTCTCCCAATAGTGTCCTGGGCTGGGCACCGAACTGTAACACGCCTCTGGGGGATGTTCCAGATCCAAGCTATTAGCATATAGTCTACAGTCTGAAGAAGTAAAGGGATTCTCCTATCTGGGTTGTCAGGAAGGTTTTGTTTAAAATTTCCAACACAATTCTTGATAATGCTAACACTGTTCTCAAACCTATGCTAAAATACAGGGCCTCGACTGTCAAGAATTGTGAAAGGTTTGAGAGTTTACCCTACTTGCAAGCTAACAGGCTCCCAGTGTGGGTGCTGATGGAAGGCACAAGTCTGCTAGTCAGCTGTGCGTGGTGGCACACACCTGTAATCCCAGCACTTGGGAAGCTGAGGTAGGAGGATTGTCTCAAGTTCAAGGCCAGCCTGGGCTACATAGTTTAAGGCCAGCTTGCACTACAAAGTGAGACCCTGTCTCCAAAAACAAAAACAAGTCTGCTGGTCAGACAAAGGACAGCTATTACTCCGAGTAATAGCAGTAACCAGAGTACCACCATTTTTTGCATTGGCTCCTCAAATCCCAATTTCCACAGAGTGATATAAAAGAGCCAGGTAATACTTGTACATTTAGTGGATTATATTACAAGGAGGAACCCAAGCTTAGAGAACTTGATATTTACAATAGACAGTATACTTTTCTAGATTTTGCATTGAAGAAAAACACTATTTTTTTTTCTTTTCTTCTTTTGGTACCGGGGATCGAACTTGGGTCCTTGTGCTTGTGAGGCAGGTGCCGGAACCACTAAGCTAAATCCCTGGCCCAGAAAAACACTATTTTTATTACATCAGGATATGAACAAACCTGCTCCCTGCTCTGGAGGTAGACACTGTCTCTGTCTTCCAAGGCTGTTTGCCATACATAAATCCTCGAAAGGCTAATTTGGAATAAAAGTGGGTAGTGCTCTGACTCCAGGATATGCCAAAATGCCAGAGACCTATGAAGAATTATCTCCTCACATTACAAGACAGCACTCCTTATTTTTTTTTCTTCTGTGGAATCCATAATACATTTGTGACTTTTCCAGAAGATCTAATAGATCAAGTATTCTATCAGATTGCCATTCTTTAAAATATCTTAAAAACCTGACCTCTAAGATCTGAAGTTGTACCCTAGAGGGAAGTTCTACTTGTCTGCACATGGCTGATCCAATAATCCTTCACTGACTAGGTTTTCATGCTACTTTGATTCTTCTTACCTGGAAGCTTTCATATGCCTTACAACTTAAAGTGCTACAGAACTGGATCAACTCTAGTTGATCAAATGCTGAGCTCATAATTAAGATTTGTATGAGGAATGTTGAGAAACTGTCCTAAAAGATTTTATCAAGTTTGAGAAGAATAAAATGCAATAAAACTTTGCAGAAAGGAGTTGCAAAACAGAACAACCAAAACACCTCAAAATGAAAGATTTTATGAGGTGATTGGTAACAGTAAACTTACAAATATTGAGGTTCTTCTAGAACACCAGTCTTGTTGTTTTCTAATTTTGCCAGATTGAAGTTTCACACTCTGGCATCTTCAGATGAGGATGAGTTGTTACCACAGCCCTGCTGATAGAACTAAGAAGTGTAGTTCCTTCAAGCCAGAGCTCTAAAAAAGGATGTACCTTACTTGGCCCCTTCCCAGGCTAGAAGTAGCAGTTGCATCTTGTTGCAGTATCTCAGCCATATATGTTGAAAAGTGACAGTAACTTTGTATCCATTTCAATAATTGCATTGCATATCATAGAGGTCAATCGATTGTGAGGTGGCTTGGAGAAAAACTTAGCTTAGTATAGGGGACCCATATTGGATGGACAAGCAAGCACAAACTTCTCTTTACTGGGGAGTATACATGTCAAATGTACAGAGAGATGTTGGCAAACCCTTAGTAAGCAAAGCTACTGGTGTCTCAGTTCTTGAGGCATGCTGGTCACCCAAACCTAGGATACATTGGAACTCAGACAAATTGAAAAATTAAGAATAAACAGACCTTGTATGCCCTTACATTTCCTTGTATCCTCATCTTTGTTCCTAGTCCATCCTTGAAATCTTGTATAACATTGTTATGCCCTAGAACAATAAAAAAGCTTTTCAATCCATGTGTGAACGGATCTAACACTAGAGGTAAAGGGGTAGAGAATAAATCCCACATGCAGGAGACCTGAGACTCATTATGCCCAGCACCCCACAATTACCAAGGTGGTCAAATTTCTGCTGGAAGGAGAGATATTTAGGTTCACTGTTGCAGTGCCAAAAACAGAGGTGAAGATTTGCCTCCAGCTGCTTCAGAAAACAAGTGTATGTTGTAGTCCATGATGTATGAGAGACCACAACATTTCATGCCCCTTAGAAATAATAGCTTCTTTGTCTGGGCTCCCTCAGTCAGGGAGTTCATCTTTTCCCATGGCTCTAAATATAATCTTAGGCTGACAACTCCCGAATTTTATCTGCAGCCACATTTCTAATATGAATTGAAAGTCATATAAATGGCTACTTGTCATCCACACTTGGATTATCACAAGTATTTCAATTTAGCTTGTTCAAAATGGAACTTTGGATCTAGCCTTGAAATCCATTCTTCCTTATATTCCCTTGTCTCTATAAATGGTTCTACCCATTTGCTTAAGCCAGAAATCTGGAGTCATTCTTCACTGCTCACATCCAATGCACAGTAAGTGGTGTCAGTTCTGTCTCCATAGTATGTCTTGACTCCATCCACTTTTCTCCCTCTCTACAGCCATCCCACTTTGCCAAGTCTCTCATCTTTTACCTGGTTGATTCAGTGACCTCCTAACTGGTGTTTCAGACTCTGTAGCCAGAGTGATTGAATACACACACACACACACACACACACAAACGTGTGCGTGCACACACACACGCAATACAACATGCCATTCAGTATTCTTTGAAGTCTTCCCATTGAACTTAGAATAAAATATCTCACCTTCCTTTCATAGCCTTCCAGGTTCTCCAGGAAGCTCCATGCTCCCTTATTCTGTGCTGTACCCTCTCTGTACTTCTTATGGTGGCTTGTTCTTACCAAAATGTTTCCTGCTGTCATGACTTTGAGCATGTTGTTCCTTCTCCTGGAAAGTTTTATGGCCTGCATGCTGCCTGCTGGATATGTCACATTTTCCTGCTTAGAACGTTTCATAATTTGTAGTATATACTTATATATTTATGTGGGTTTTTACTTTTTAAATGCCTGTCTCCTTCCTACACTATATACTCCATGAAGGTAAGGATCATACTTGACATATCTCTAGCTCTGGGCTTGATACAGTGCTTAGGATTTGTCTAGTTACTTTTCTCCTTGCTGGGACAAATATCTGACTCCCACAAGTTAAAGGAGGAAAGGTTTATTTTAGCTCACAGTGTGTAGAGGTTTCAGTCCAGAGTTAGCTTGGGCTGGGGTTTTAGCTCAGTGGTTCTGCCGCCTGCCTTGCGAGCAGAAGGTCCCAAGTTTGATCCCAAGTACCAAAAACAACAACAACAACAACAACAACAAAAACAAAAGCAGAGTTGGCTGGCTCCAAGGCAGGGTGGCATGGTGAGGGGCATTGCAGAAGAGAAACAATCCATGGCAGGGAAGGCAAGAAGGCAGCAAGCAGTGAAGCAGTAGCAGTAAAGCAAGCCTCCCTTTCCCTTTTATTCCATCCAGGCTACAAAACTTTTGGGTGGTGTCACTCATACCCAGGGTAGGCCTTTCCATTAACCACACCCAGACCTATGCTAAACCAATCAGTGGACTAATTTTGTAGCACCCCCCCCCTTTTTTTTCCTTTTCTTACACTTTAATGGCAATCTTGTTTCAGAAAATTTTAATTTTTTGTTTGTTTTTCATTTTTTTATAGCAAAACATTTATTGGTACATTTTAGGCTTACATAATGATAACACACACCCTTAATCCCAGTGTCACATACGCTAGATCAATAATGGCAAACCTTTTAAAACTTTCAACTATACAAAGAGACTGCAGTGGCATATATGTCGTAAGTTCAGCACTACTGCCCTAGATTCAGCCAGCTGCAAAAGCCCCACCTATGAGTGGATAAACCTTTGGGGGAACTCAAAATAAAGGGCATAACATTCTGCCCCTCACCTCCGAAAGACTCATATGCACCCTTTTATGCAAAAGGTATTTAGTACATCTCTAAGAGTTGCCAATATTATGACAGGTTCAACACTGCTAAAAAGCCCAAGTACAAAGCCTCCTCTGAGATTTAAGGCAAGCTTTTAGCTTTGAGCTCCTGTACAAATGAAAAAAAGTTAAACACTTCCAACATACAATGGCACAAGATAAACATTCCCATTCCAAAATGTACAAATAAGGGAATAGAAAGGAATGGGATCAAATCAAGCCCAAAATCCAGCAGGGGAAATATTAAGTCCTGTAGTTCCATGTCCAGGATCCAGAGTAAGCTTGGCAAGATGCGAACTTGCCAAGTTTGCCTTGGGTGGCCCTGCCCCTATAGTACTGCCAGTGGCTATAGCTCCCATGGCTTCTTTCTTGTGTGAGCTCTGCTCATTCCTTGCATTTTTCCTCAGACAATCCACATCCCTGGCTTCTCCAACCTTCTAGGGTCTCCACTGTACCTTCAGCTTCACACACTGCCCTCCCAGGGGCACACTGCCTGACCTCCCAGGCCTTCTTTTGAAATCTGGGTGGAAGCCTTTCTGACCCCACAACTGTTGCATTTTTTATGAGCCTAAAACCAGCACTATGTGGATGATGCCAAGGACTGCCACCAGCTGGAGCAGTAGCCAGGCTTCTTTCTCTCTTGGCTCTAGGGGTTGAGTGCCTCAGTTGCTGAGGTCTGTAAAACAAATCCCAAGGAACAACTTCCCTAGACTGCTGCTATTCTGGAACCTAGTGCTTTGAGGTTCTCTTCTCAAAACAGTCTTTCATCTTTGTAACTTTGAAGTTGCAAAGGATGGATCCTTACTGGTTCTTGTGATGCTCCCAGGCCATCATTTCTATTGTCCTTTTCTGAAATACTTGGCATTTTAGTGCTAATCTCTTCAGCAATCAAGTTCTCCTCCATTCCATCTTTGGAGGCTGCAACTTTACTGGAGCTCCCTTTCTGGCCAAACTCAAAATGTTTTAAATCACTGGGCTGTTTGCTCTTGATTCCAAAGGTACAGCTGGCTAAAAACCCAGAGCAGTAGCCATGTCACTGCCTTAACATTAGACTGCCTTGAAATTTCTTCTGCCAGATGAATTAATCTGCTTCCCTTAATCTCAGTTTTAGGCAAAGCCTCTGGAAAAAAGTAAAATGTAGACAAATATTCTGCCAAAGTATAATATGCATGGTCTAGAGTCTAATAGCCAATGTAGCCCTTGTTCCTAATTGAAACTCCTGAGCCTGGTCTTTACCAGATGCATTTCTATTAGCATTCTGGTCTCTGAGCTCTGACCATAATCTCTCCTCAAGTTCAGCTTACAGCATTTCAGGGCTGCTTCTTCAGATGGCATCTCTATACCTTTCTAAATTCTTCCCCTAAACCACTTCCAAAGGCTCCTGAACCACATGGGCAGGTAATGTCACAGCGACAATCCTACTCTCAGTAACAAAATCTGTCTTCAATAAATCCATTCAGCCACACCCAGAACTATGCTAAACCAATCAATGGACTAATTTAGTACCATACACCCTTAATCCCAATAGCACACACCCTCGATCTTGCCAGGTCTGAAAAGCTCCACTTATGAGCACATGAGGCTTTAGGGGTGTTTTAGTTACTTTTCTCGTTGCTGAGACAAAATATCTAACACCTAAAGCTAAAGAAGGAAAGATTTATTTCAGCTCACAGTTTGTAGAAGTTTCAGTTCATAATTGGCTGGCTCCAAGGCAAGGTGGCATGGGAGAGGGGCAGCACAGAGGAGAACAGTTCATGGTATGGAAGGCAGGAAACAGCAAAAGCAGCAAGCAGAGACAAGTGACGCCAGCAGCTCTCTTTCTGTCTGTTATATTTAATCTCTTAATCCTAGCATTACAGTGTGAATCAATCCCAACATGACATCCTCTATCTCAGCATCACACACTCTAGATCCAGCTATCTCCAGAAAGCCCCACCTATGACTGCATGAGGCTTTGGGGGAACATTTAGATACATGCTGCAACAGCATTATACGTACTCAATATATTCTTGCTGAATGCATGAGTGAATACTTCCAGTGCAAAGGGGGATAGGGTCTTATTTATTTATTTATTTATTTATTTATTTATTTATTTATTTTTAATGTGAGAATAAACATTAACACACGATAATTGCCTGGAATGTGCAATTAATCTGCATAGAACTTGCTGGAGATCTTGTCTTTTTATATGATCATCAGAATACAAATCAAAGGCAAATGAGTATTTTCTGCCTTTTTCCTTGAGTATACTCCTCCTCCATAATTTGATCTTCTTTGCTTCTTCAAGCTTCTTGGTTCTATCATTTTTTTTTTCTGGTACCAGCCAGGCACTGCACCACTGAACTACATCCTCAGTGTGCTCTCTCTCTCTCATACATCTGTCTATCTGTCTGTCTTATCTATTTTTCTTGCTTCCCCACACCCAGAAAGCTGCCCTTTCTTTTTGGCCCCTGTGTTCCAGAAGGGTCTGGAATGTTCTGGCCATAACTGCTGGACCAACCAGATCCTATGCTCAACTCTTGACTGGAGAGCACTCCCCCCCACTTCCTGCTTGACTGGCTGCCCAGCATAGGCACTAGTACATGGCTCTGCCACCTCTGAGACCTAACACCCACTCTCTGATGCTATGTGAAACTCTTTCTCAAGAGCCAGGAGGATCCATTTCTTATACCCCCATGGTTTGAGGAAACAGGTATTTTTTCATCACAAAGTGCTTAAGTAAACATTCTTCTGAGTAAGGACATCTCTCTTTCTCTGTGGCCTCTTTCTATTTCCTTTTTAAACTTCTCCTTTTTTGGGGGAAGGGAGTCATACATACAGTACAAGAAATTAAAAGCATAAGTCAGTGGACACTGAAGTTACTGCTGAAAAAAACTACTGGTTGCATTTTACCTGGATGTATATATATCAATTCACAATTACGTTATATCACATCATGATGCACATATGATAAAATTCAATGGCTACAAAAGGTAAACATGTAATGTTGTCTCCCTCCACACCCACACGTCCTCTCAGTAAGTTTCTTACATTCCTTCCAGAGACTCACAGGCAGATAGTTTCACTGTCCTTTCCTTCCCCCTGTTTTGCATTTTGCTCTGTTCTAGGAGCAATATGTTCTGTATTAATAATCCAGAAACTTACTAACTTTTTATAGGTGCATAGGATTTGGATGAATCATAATTTACATTGAGAAAATGGAATATGTAGTTTCCCACACATTCAAGTATATGTGTGAATAAATTATCAGAAATCAAGGAGTATTTTAGGGCCGGGGATTTAGCTCAGTGGTGCTGCCGCCTGCCTCACAAGCACAAGGTCCTGAGTTCGATCCCTAGTACAAAAAAAAAAGAAAGAAATCAAGGAGTGTTTTAACTTGATAGAGATTGTCAAATTGCCCTCTAGAGTGATTTATAAGAGTACTATCTTGCCAGGAGTGGTGGTAATCACAGTAATCACTTGTAATTACAGCACTCAGGAGACTGAGGCAGGGTATTGCCATGAATTCAAGACCAGCCTTGGCTACATAGTGAGTTCAAGGGCAGCCTGAACTACAGAACAAGATGCTGTCTTAAAAACAAAACAAACTGGTACCACGCCAGCCTGGCAAGCACAAGGTCCTGAGTTTTAACTGAAAAATTCATTGTCATTGTAATTTTAGTTTGCATTTTATTTCATCTCAAGCATATATTTGTACATTTAGAGAATTTATGTTTCCTTCTCTATGAACTCTTCATATTTTTGCCCATTTTTTCAGCTGGAAAGATATTCTTTTCCTTAGTGACGTGTACAAGTTATTTATATTTTAAGAAAGTTTGTTCATGGTAGGCTTATCTTGAAGAATTAAAAAATTTTAATGTAGCTAAATTCACCTTTATTTTAAGGCATCTGAATTTGTGTATAGTGGTTAGGAAACCTTTAATTGAAGATTATTCTCTCCTGAAAGGTACAAAAATTCAATGAATCGAAGAGTTG